GGGGGCTGGTATGACAGGAAGTGGGGGGGCTAGTGTGACAGGGGCTAGTGTGACTGGGGCTGGTATGACAGGGAGGAGGGGCTAGTGTGATAGGGGCTAGTATGACTGGGGCTGGTATGATAGGGAGGGGGGGCTAGTGTGATGGGGGCTAGTATGACAGGGAGGAGGGGCTAGTGTGACAGGGGCTAGTGTGACCGGGGCTGGTATGACAGGGAGGAGGGGCTAGTGTGGCAGAGGCTAGTGTGACAGGGAGGGGTGGCTGGTGTGACAGGGAGGGGTGGCTAGTGTGACAAGGAGGGGTGGCTAGAGTGACAGAGGCTAGTGTGACAGTGAGGGGGGGCTAGTGTGATGGGGTGGTGGGGGGGGAGTTGCACGAGTGCGACCGGGAGAGGCTACTGTAACGGGGGAGGGGGGGGGGGGGGGGGGTGTTGGGGGGAGTGTGCTGTTGGCAGGGTAGTGTGACGGTGGGGGGCGTTCATGTAACCGAGTCTGCTGTGACACGAAGCTGATGTGACAAGGGCTGGTGTGATTGGGTTGGCGGTGGGTAGCAAGCGGATGTGCTGCAACAGTGTGACTTGAGCGGGGAGGTGCTAGTATGATGAGCTGGTGTGACTTGGGTGGGGCTGGTGTGGTACAGGGCTTTGAAGAGCACCTGTGCATTGCTGCACACAGCCCGTCAGTACTGGGAGGAGGAAAGGAGCTTGTGCCCCGATTAACCTGGGATTCAGTAACTATGGTGTGCAGCCTGAGGAACGGGGTTGAGGGGGAGGGGGGGGGGGGGTTGCGGGGGTGGTTCCTGAGTGTGACATAAATTAGAAGGCAGGGACAGCTTGTAAACGGTTGTGTTTCCCTCCAGGAGATCCTGCAGACACTGATTACACTGCAGTGGGCTGTGCCATCACCACCATTTCTTCGAATCTGACGGAGATGTCAAAGGGTGTGAAGATGCTGGCAGCTCTCATGGATGATGACATTGGCAGTGGGCAGGACCTGTTGCGTGCTGCGAGGACATTGGCTGGTGCTGTGTCTGATCTGCTGAAGGCAGTTGAGCCTTCATCGGGGGAGGTGAGCTGGCAGGAGGTAGGGGTGGGGTGGGGGTCCACGGGCTGGCACAGGGCAGGGGTGTGTGGGCCCACGGGCTGGCACAGGGCTGGGGTGTGTGGGCACCTGACAACGTTCAAGTCCGAAATGCAACAGAAAACGAGGGCAGTCCATCAGTTTCCCTTCCATCTGGCTTTGGGAAACGATTTTGCAGCCATCAGTTCTGTCAGCGGGCATTAGAGACTAACATCAAACTGGGAAAATCAGAGAGAAACCGCGCAGCACAGGCAGAGGCCATTCAACCCATCAAGCCTGTGCCGGCTCTTTTGTAAGAGCGAGTCCCACTGGCCCTGCTTTGTCCCAATTGCCTGCTTTAATTTCACTTTTTCTCATATTTACCCAGCTCCTGTTTAGAATTTCTGATTGAACCTCTACTTCCATCATGCCTTTGCCTTTTCTATGGAATAATGAGCAGTGCGTTATTATGGTCTCAAGCTCCTGCTGCAAAATGGATGTACCTCATCCTCCCTGCTGAGTCTTTGAAAGGTTTTGAAACTTATTGCTTTGTCCCTGTCAAGGTCGGAGGTGGCGGGGATGGTGGGGGAATGGGTAGTGTCTCTCAATTTGTATGTTATTAGGAAACAATTTCAGCACCCAGCGTGCGGGTATGTTTTGTCAGAAAGTCAGCGCGTGTGTGTGTTTTCCTGTTCCCAGCCTCGGCAGACTGTCCTGACAGCGGCTGGAAGCATTGGCCAGGCCAGTGGAGACCTCTTGCGGCACATTGGAGAGAGCGAGACGGACGAGCGATTCCAGGTAGAAAGCCTCTTTGAACTCTTTCTGGAGGGGTTAATTGGTTGTTGCCATCTCCGTTCGACTCCTCCCGTTGTTTGTCGGTCTGACTCGTGTTAGTTTTCCCCAGGACTTTTCATTGGATTGGCACGGTGGCTCAGTAGTTAGCACTGCTGCCTCACAGCACCAGGGACCCGGGTTAGATTCCACCCTCAGGCAACTGTCTGTGTGGGGTTTGCACATTCTCCCCGTGTCTGCGTGGGTTTCCTCCGGGTTCTCTGGTTTCCTCCCACAGTCCAAAGATGTGTAGGCTAGGTGGATTGGCCAGGCTAAATTGCCCATAGTGTTCAGGGATGTGATAGATTAGGTGGGTTGTAGGGGGGTGGGTCTGGGTGGGATGCTGTGAGGGTCGGTGTGGACTTGTTGGGCCGAAGGGCCTGTTTCCACTCTGTCGGGATTCTATCATCTACGATCCTTCATTTATTGTCCCCTGTCATGCTGGTCTTCTTGGAGGGGGTGACGTAAATTTGTTCCACGTTCTATACTTGTTCCGGAATGTTCTGCACATTCAGATTCACTTGTTCAGAAGGTGCATGAATTTGACGCAGAATGAGAATGTTAATGCCAAGGGTATTTCTTTACTCTTCTCCTGTTGAGTAGAGCACAACGCAGACAACGCAGACAAGGCCCCAAGTGTGTGCGTGTGTGTGTATGTTGTTGTGTTTCCAAGGATATGGTTCCCCGGAGCAAATCGTCGGCCTGGGGCTTGAGGGATGACCACCCCCGACCCCGGCATCACAACATGGCCGACAGGAGCTTCTCCTACTCTTACCGCCTGATGTGAATGTCTCAGGGGGCTTTGCAGGTTGATAATTGACTGGTTTTGGTCATGTTACAAATAGACTCTCCGTGGCCTTCAAGTCCCGAAGTGGGAGTTGAACCTGTGGCATCCAGGCACTATTCACTGCACCACAAGATGACCCCAGTATTATTAGGGAATGTTCATCCCCCATGTTACTGCTCTCAGTCATCAGTAACATGATTTCATAATCATTGTATTCCATATCTGTGCCATTAATAAGACCCGCTCTGTCAACATCCATGACATCTCCGCCTCTGGTTCAGTCCAGTTGCTGCTGATGCCCTGATCTGGAACTTTGTTTCCTCCACATTTGAAAATCCAGCCCAGCTCCAGCTGACCCTCCCTCTGTAGATTTGTGATCAACCTCATTTTCACCATGTCCTGGTTGCCCATCACCTGTCTGCTCCCTGACCTGCATTAGCTTCCAGCCGAGCAGCATCTCAATTTTAAAAACCCTCATCCTCATTTTCAACTCGCCTGACAGTCTCCTTCCCCCCCCCCCCCCCCTCTCCCTCCCCCCCCCCCCGCTCCCTCTCCCCCCCCCCCCCCCCGCTCCCTCTCCATCCCGACCCCTACCCTGCTCCCTCTTCACCCCCACTCACCCGCTCCCTCTCCTCCCCCATTTCACCTGCTCCCTCTCCACCCCGACCTCCACTCTGTACCTCCACCTAACCCCTGCTCGCTCTCCTCCCCCACCTCCCCCCACTTGC